CCAACACTAGCAAAGGTCTCAGTTTTAGTATCGCATCATAGACCTTTACTAGGTTTTGAAGCAATCAAAGACGGATAACAGAACTCGCTTATGCAACAGATGGCTTGCTTTCCATGTGGTATGGATAATTATTCAAAATGTCCTGTGTTGCAGTAAATTGCGCATGCCTAATAGCGACTAAACTCAGAGATTGTAATTCTCATACAACACGGCCGCTCATGTTGTAAACTGTACTTAACTATTATTATATTAACTATGGATAAACCTTTTAATTTGTGATTTAGTTTTATGCGAATTAGGCTCTCCATGGCAACGATTAAGAAAGCACACAAAAGACAGGATCAGATTTTTGTCTATTTTGTCTGGTACTGAAAAGTAAAGGTTATGCGATCATACATTCAGGTTGTTGTACGCCTTTTGTGAATTTTTGAAGAGATTTTACCTATGGCACAAGCTGGTRCGTTTCTTTAAAATTTCACAAAAATTGTAGCTAGTACTACCGTAGTGTAGAAACGTCAGATAAAYTGCTTTTTGTGTGTGCTTTATTATTACAAAATAAATAGATATAACATAGGAGCAAAACACCAAGATATTTGACAGTTTTTATAATCAGCCTAGCAATAATTTTATTATATTAACCAGTATTACAATAGTGACCAATCTTTTCAAATAAAAAACAGCACCATCAGTCACCCTTGTGGATAAATCATTTCTAATGGGCCTGTTTGACTGGAGGGCGCGTCTAGGAGATCTAAAGATATTCTTCTATGATTCAAAGAAGGTGGGGCTGTTGTTCATTGTTTGAGGGGTGTGGTGGTCTGTTACTCATCGCTGTCAGATTCTACAGATGAATTGTTTTTCTTTCTTCGTTTTGCTTGTTTTGGTTTGACAGATTCTTCTTCCTGGAAACAGGACGAAACAAGGTAAATGAATATGGTCCAAAATTTGTTAGAAAAACATTTTTAAATGTAACAAATAAAATAGAAAAAACAACACAACTAAAGAAAAGACTAACTGATAGCCACACTTGTCAGTGACGACACATCATGACTAATCAAAAATAGACAACAAGGAGACAGTATGTAATACCTCATCACTTTCGTCTGAAGACTGGACATGTTTCGAAGCAGCCGCCTGCGTTCTTGATGTYCTGGTGTTTCGTTTTCGAGATTCTTTTTCATCGCACAACGAAAACAACATCTTAAACCTTGAAGAACAAAGCGCAGAAAATACAGTGTCTTTCACCTTTCTTCAGAACAGAAAGAATATTTCAAGTAATTGTATCAATATTTTATAATTCTTTCACCTACCTCGACTTTCTAGCTTCTGTGCCAGCAATTTTNGTTAACTATTATTATAAACTTATCAATACTGCATGAGCTATTACTCCAATAAGGGCCTTGTAGTATAGTTTACAACACGGTCGACACCTCGAGACAAACCAACACTAGCAAAGGTCTCAGTTTTAGTATCGCATCATAGACCTTTACTAGGTTTTGAAGCAATCAAAGACGGATAACAGAACTCGCTTATGCAACAGATGGCTTGCTTTCCATGTGGTATGGATAATTATTCAAAATGTCCTGTGTTGCAGTAAATTGCGCATGCCTAATAGCGACTAAACTCAGAGATTGTAATTCTCATACAACACGGCCGCTCATGTTGTAAACTGTACTTAACTATTATTATATTAACTATGGATAAACATTTTAATTTGTGATAGTTTTATGCGAATTAGGCTCTCCATGGCAACGATTAAGAAAGCACACAAAAGACAGGATCAGATTTTTGTCTATTTTGTCTGGTACTGAAAAGTAAAGGTTATGCGATCATACATTCAGGTTGTTGTACGCCTTTTGTGAATTTTTGAAGAGATTTTACCTATGGCACAAGCTGGTGCGTTTCTTTAAAATTTCACAAAAATTGTAGCTAGTACTACCGTAGTGTAGAAACGTCAGATAAATTGCTTTTTGTGTGTGCTTTATTATTGCCAAATAAATAGATATAACATAGGAGCAAAACACCAAGATATTTGACAGTTTTTATAATCGGCCTAGCAATAATTTTATTATATTAACCAGTATTACAATAGTGACCAATCTTTTCAAATAAAAAACAGCACCATCAGTCACCCTTGTGGATAAATCATTTCTAATGGGCCTGTTTGACTGGAGGGCGCGTGTAGGAGATCTAAAGATATTCTTCTATGATTAAAGGAAGGTGGGACTGTTGTTCATTGGTTGAGGGGTGAGGTGGTCTGTTACTCATCGCTGTCAGATTCTACAGATGAATTGTTTTTCTTTCTTCGTTTTGCTTGTTTTGGTTTGACAGAATCTTCTTCCTGGAAAGAGGACGAAACAAGGTAAATGAATATGGTCCAAAATTTCTTAGAAAAACATTTTTGAATGTAACAAATAAGATAGAAAAACACTTGTCAGTGACGACACATCATGACTAATCAAAAATAGACAACAAGGAGACAGTATGTAATACCTCATCACTTTCGTCTGAAGACTGGACATGTTTTGAAGCAGCCGCCTGCGTTCTTGATGTCCTGGTGTTTCGTTTTCGAGATTCTTTTTCATCGCACAACGAAAACAACATCTTAAACCTTGAAGAACAAAACACAGAAAATTCAGTGATATACAGTGTGCCAAAAGATATTATCAATATTTTATCACTCTTTCACCTACCTCGACTTTCTAGCTTCTGTGCCAGCAATTTTTGCCTGGTCTAATGCTGAACGTATATTATCCTGCTTGAAAACTGAGAGTAAACAAAATACACAAACAACATTACATTTAACGTCATTACAAACTATTGTTTTTACTATTAATACCAACTGACTGTACCACTGTAACAGATACTAAAGAAAACAAAACTATAGCGATAGCAAAACTTATGTCAATCATTCGAGTGAGAAATTTCCCTAAGGATTTAACCAACTTATATGGCGTTTCACCTTTCGGAGCACCACTCCATTGCATTGTGGTCTTGCTGTACAAACTTCTTTTGTTGTTTGTACTGAAGCTAGACCCCAATGCAACATGATTTTGCATTTATATGAAAACCATACACTTTCAAGTAATATTCATTATTCATGCAGCCAAATATGGTGCTGTTTGTACTGAAAGTAGATAGTGAAAATAGACCACAATGCAACATGTTACTTACAACTAATATCTTCTTGTTCCTGTGATATTTTGTACAGCCAATCAAGATGTCCAAGGATCTGATCGACAGAAGGTTGATTCTTGGCATTTCTAATGATAACATCAATCAATCAAAATCAATTCAAGTAAATAATCATTGATTCAATCCAGCGATCAATCAATCATTTATTCAATCAGTCAGTCAATCATCCATTCAATCAGTCATTCAATCAGTCAGTCAATCAGTCAGTCAATCATCCATTCAATCATTTATTCAATCAGTCAGTCAATCAGTCAGTCAATCATCTATTCAACCATCCATTCAATCAGTCGGTCAATCATCCATTTAATCATCCATTTAATCATCCATTCAATCATTCCATTCAATCATTCATTCAATCAGTCAGTCAATCATCCATTCAATCATCCATTCAATCATTCCATTCAATCATTCATTCAATCAGTCAGTCAATCAGTTTGATCATCATCAATTCAATGGATGATTCAGTTATCATCCATCCAATCACGAGTTGTTCAATCGATCTAACACAAAAGCCTCTTTCGCAAATTCTGGCGCCATATTTTGGACAAAGATTCTATGAAAGGATGGAAAAAAGATGCGTTTTTCGTTATATTTTTATTCTTATTCTGAATACTGTTAATCCTTTGTTCAATTTTTTGATCCCTGCCAGCAGAATCCCTCTCGTAGCTTCCGAGGAGTACTATAACGAGAGAGAGACGATTTGGGCGTTGCATAAGACTGACTCATAGAGCGACAGTAGTCAAGGTTTGCGAGTTTTACGAATAACACTTGATCAAAACTATTCATCTATTCATCTTTTTTCCCCATCAATTCTTAGATTCTTTACTAAACGAACAAGATGGTGCCAAAACCGTGAAAGTGTCTGTCATAGCGTTTTAAACCATTCCCATGAGATTCAAAAGATGAAAGACCGCCGGCCATGTTGGAGGAATGAACAATAGATACTAATTAGAAATCCTTTGTTGAAGTTCCTCCAARATGGCTGCTGTGACGTATTGATGGTTTTCAACCATTCCCATGAGAGTGATCAAAACAAAAAGGTCCACCGTTCACGGTGGTGGTTTTCTTTTGTCAGGTCCACCAGCTATGGCGGACATCTTTTGTTCAACTTTCTCGCCTGGGAATGGTTGAAAACCATCAATAGTGAAAACGAAGAATTAATTTGATGCACATGGCACCGATAACTAAAAAAAAGCAAGAAAGAAGAAACAACAAATCAATCATAAAACAGTTACGATAAACTCTTACTTTCGTTTTTTCCCTCCAGACAATTGTTTACTAATCTGTTGACTAGCAAGCTGCGCAAGCTCACTAGAATACTCTACACTCCAACACTTAAGTAACGCAGTGACAAACTGGTTACCAGGTCTCTTGTCCGGRCATTCCATTGCAACAACGGGCGTCAAAAGATCATGGGAAGGCCTAATGTAGAGTGAAATAATCAAAATAATGATGATTATAATTACAATCATATCTCAAGACAATTCTTAGAAACGTCTATAGATGCAAACGATTTTTTTTTATTTCAATTAAAAGAGCATTGATGATTGAATGCTACAATCATCGACAATACACATTTGTTCAAGATAAGCAGTAAGTAACATCCTGTT